GACTCTCCACAACCATAACGACCACAGCTGTCTCCTCTCTCTCGCGACTGGGGGTCCTGCACCCTACTTGGCTAGGTTTGAGTGCTCCGTTCCCACATTCTGAAGCGGTGGTGGTGCATACGTATCAACAACCATCAGCACATAGAACTACATAACGACTTGATTTTACCTGTTGAAAAGGCTTCAATGCAGGAAGAAGAAAAGAAGAAAAAAAACGAGAAAAAAAAAGAAAGGAGAAGAAGAAGAAAAGAAAAAAACCTAAACAGAGAGCAGCGTGACAAGAGATCTGTCTGATTGACGACGACTCGCCGCGGTTCGTCTTGGCCCGTGAAACTTACACCAGAGCAGTATACTCTCCTGAGTCGTGCTCTCTCATTCTTTCTCCAGGTCCCCCCCACGATTTTATTACCGCTCTCGGTTGGCTGGCTCGTGTGCAAGTGGGTAGGCTGAAGGCGACCGGCCTTGTGTGCGCTAGGCTAGCGGTGCAAGTTACGGGTGCAAAGAAGAGTGACCGAATCCAGGTCAGTGCAGCCAGCCGAGCGTGGGGAAAGAGGCACACACACTCTCTCTCTCTCACACGCACCTACCTTGGGAGACCTGGGCTGGGTACAAGTCAAAGATTCCCCCCCCATTTTGGCCGCCCTCCTCCCGCCTTTTTTTCTCCTCTCCCACCACACCAGACCAATCCCCTCCCCCCAAGCGGATTTAACGAACGCCTCCAAAATACAAAATACAACGACCCGACTCTCGTTCGTGGGACATGGCTGCCATATCGAGGTCGAGTCCCCTCAATCCCACATCAACAGAACACGACTGGAGATTTCCACGCAGACCTGGTCAATCCGCCGACAACGGCGCCGAAGCGATGAATTCCGAGCAGCACCACCAGCCTGACGGCAACACTGCAGTCAGCAGGATCAGCGGTACCGCAGCCGCCTCCACCTCCGCAAAAGGCGGCAGCACCAGCGATGCGAGGCGAGCCACAGGGCTGCACGACACCATAAAGCAGCTTCGTTTCGATCTCTCGGATAGGGTCATGGACGCGCAGAGCACATTGTCCAAGATGGAAACACTGGGCGCCTTTGATGACGGTCTGGCGGGCATGAGCTTGAGCCCGGAGGAGATGGCCAAGGAGGACCCTCTGGCGACCCAGATCTGGCGGTATTTCGCCAAGACGAAGCAGAACCTGCCCAACCACGAGCGCATGGAGAATCTCACCTGGCGCATGATGCATACCAACTTGAAGAAGCAGAGTCAAACAACCCAGGATCCTGCCAGGTATGCACAGATCTATCTCTGGTGGCTGATAGCACGGCTTTATTTCTACTACTACCACAATCACCACCATCACCACCATCACCACCACCACCACCACCACCTCAAGATGACTGCTCGGAGAGGATAAGATGCTAACTCGCTGCCGCCATCGATATAAAAGACTTAATAGCTCCACGCAGAATACTCCGAGTGGTATTGCCCAGCTGCGAAGATCAACCGAGCATAACATACCCACCACGGAGCCCATGAACTTGGACGACTTCATTATTGCCGAGAACATGGCTCCTCCTGCTGGCCTGGGCCCCAGCCCTTCTCCCGAGATCACAAAGCCGGGTGGTGACAGGCCGCTTCGAACTCAGATCCACTCCATTCCAATCAAGCACCGCCAGGCGTCTCTGCCGCACTTTGTGCCCCAGTCCGTTCCTGTACCCGCCCATGCACCCAACGCACAGCATGAGTTTGGCTATGTCACTCGTCATCACCGAAAGACGAGTATTGATGAGAGACAAGTAAGTTGCGCTTCTCTGCTGAGACAACAAAGGCCCCCCGCCCCAGGAGCCCTAACTCTCACTCACTCTGGCTTGCCCGCAGTCTTGAGCAGGTCTTCTCAGACAGGATAACAGCTGACTTATGTACCAGACCCGCAAGCGTCCTGCTGATTTCTCGCCCCATGTGTCTGGCATCAATGGCGACGGCGACTTGGATCTCCACGAGTACACGCTTGACCATACCAATACCAACAACAACACCAACACCAACTCCTCCCTCGGCAGTCACCATCCCCACAGCCATACCGGTGTTCCATTTCCCCTGGATACTTTCCAGATGGAGAGCGACCCGATCATCACCTCGGCTGGTCCCTTCCAGCAGCACTTTACCTTCTCCCCAGGAACCTCCCCTATGGCTCACCACGGCCCATTCTCCTCCATGTACAACCTTTCTATGCCGTCATCTGGTCTTCAGAACACGGAATACTACTCGCCCCCGGGTTCCGCGTATCAGTCAGCTGTCTCAACACCTCATCCTCTGAACGAGTCCTCTGAGCCCTTCTATTTCGGTTCTATGGACGTGCGAAACCAACAACCTCATCCCTTTCGACCTGCGCAGAACAGCATGGCGAACTCGCTTCCGAATCAGTTCATGTACAATGCAGCTGCAGGCAACCCCATGTTCCCGACCACAACCGGTGCGGACGCCACCTCTGCCTTCTCGACGAGTAACAGCAATTTCGGCCACATCGATCCCAGCCAGGTGTTTCCCGACCATTCAGTCAGGTCTCCTGGCGTGAGCATGATGCCTGACAGCAATGGCATGTTTAGTCTCGGCGCTGATTCGGATGACGGCGATGAGGATGGCGGTGCCTTTGCTGATCGCAACATGGCGATGCCACAGGATTTTTCATCTACTGAGTTCGATGCCGATGGGCTGCCGGCTCACAGCAGCGCGCTGCAGTGGGACGCATCCCTGCCTGGTCAATTTAGCACTCAGGCAGCACGGTATCCAGGTGGACCGCCTGGGGCCAAGCGTGTCACCATCGGCGGGACCACCACAGATTATGTGGATACCAATGGAGATTGGGATAGTGGCAGCCTCGGGCGCAGCCAGTCCTTCCGGCAAGGCGGAGACCGACGTCAGAAGATACCACGAACAGCGTCAACGCCCGCAGTGAATCGTGGCCACCCGTTCGACCGCTTGGCTCAGTCCAACCCGAGCTCCCCACAAGGTGACGGCGCGGGGCATGCCTCCGGATATTCCTCGGTCAACCCAAGCAGGCCCTCGTCACCACCTGGGTCTAAGCACGGCTCGACAACGAACCTGCAGGGTGCCGCCAACAGCTCAGGAGATGGGTCAGCCCCGACCACCTGCACCAACTGCTTCACCCAGACTACACCTCTCTGGCGGCGTAACCCAGAGGGCCAGCCCCTCTGCAACGCCTGTGGCCTCTTCCTCAAGCTCCATGGGGTCGTCCGGCCCCTTAGCTTGAAAACAGACGTCATCAAGAAGCGGAACCGAGGCTCTGGGAACAGTGGGCCCGTCGGCGGGACGAGCACAAGGTCTACCAAGAAGAATTCAAGCATCAGTGCATCTGCAACATCTTCGGGCGTGAATACCCGCAAGAACTCGACACTGAACATCTCATCGGCGGCCAACATTTCGTCCCAGGCAACGACACCCCCGGCAACCACGCGTGCTGGCAGTGTAAACTCTGGCGAGTCTCCTGCTAGCGGCCTTGCCTCGGGTGCCAACACCGCCGGCAGCAGCCCGACCAGCTTTCCGGGCGCGATAGCTGCTGTGGGCGGAAAGGGCGTAGTCCCGATTGCCTCAGCTCCTCCCAAGTCTGCACCAGGGCCGGGAGCGGCCTCCTTGCCTCGAAGTATTGCGATCTCTGCCAAGCGACAGCGCAGGCATAGTAAGAGCGCGGGCGGTGATAACAGCGGCAGCATGGACATTGATAGTCCCGAGAACTCGACGGGCTCCAACGAGGCTGCCCGCTCGCTCAGCTCCAGCAGTGGTTTTGGGGCCATGTCCGGCTCGGCGAACCTTGGTCTGGCCAACGGGTTTGGCATGACGCAGCGGCCCATGGTTGGGCCGGGCATGATGACCGGGATGCCCGCCAGCCAGTCTGGGTTAAACATGACATCTGGAGGCACTGGAACGGGCCCACAGGAGTGGGAGTGGCTGACCATGAGTCTGTGAGCGAATCTTTGGAAGACGAACTCTAGCGACTCGTCCTCGTGGGAAAGCGGGCCTTCGATCGATACCTGGGCGTATCTCTCTTACTGTCTCTCTCTCTCTCTCTCTCTCTCTCTCTCTCTCTCTCCCTCCCTCCCTCCCTCCCTCCCAGGCGTTGTCTTGCTTGTAATTGCTAATGAGGTGGACATAATCTCCTCGGGTCGGTCGTCTTTGACATTTTTTGTCTCTTTTCAAATGATACCACTCCGACCGAGTCCTGGTCGTTTACACTTGGGGGTGGGTGGATCACTGCTCTTTCGTTTGCTTTTGCTCTTAATGATGCGCTCTTCTTGAGCTGTGGGCTCTGCTTTGCTTTCCGCTGCATATGTTCTGGCGCCGGCTGTTGTCTGCTTTTTCTTCTTCATCTTGTCTCCTGCAGTTGGGCCCCCCTGATTATGGGGTGAAAGCTGGGACGGGGGGCTGGGCTTCTCTGGGCTCTTTACCTCGTCGTTTTTATTTGGTGCCCCTCTCACGTTTTATATCTTGGGCCTCTCTCGCCCCCTGGACGATGCTGATGCTTTGCGATGTCTTATATACCCGCTTGCCGAAATTCCAGGCCGTTTGCTTTTGCAAGGTGATATCGGCCACGATCCCTTCTTAAACACGATCTACTGGGTTGGATCACAATGCATGCATATACAATCTATACAGACTGAAATAGAAGTTGGATACCTGACTTTTCGATTTTTGCTTCTTGTATTTTTGCTATTGTGATGCCCAGTGACCTGTTTGTCTTTACTGCCTAAGTATGTACTGGGGAAGGATCGATTGCCATCCTCAGTCATCAGCGCCCACCTTCATGCTCCAATATCCACAGCTGAATCCCCCGCTACAACGCGCAGGTCGCTGATCGGACACAACAAGACAACGCCCACCTCCCCAACACACCAATGGTTCTTCTTTGCCCTGGCTGTATGTATATATGTAGGTACAGCAGACACGAATCGTTGAGGTATGTATGACTCTCTCCCATGCCGGTTTCTCTCCCTCTACTCCAGGTCCGAGTTGCGATAGTACCAGCTCCGCTTCAGCACAGCCCGCCGCGCGGAGAAGAAGGCCGAGCACAGCACCTCATCCACACTCTCCGCCTTGCCAGACCAGACGCAGTCGCCGTCCATGTACAGCTCCCACTTGATCTCGTTCTTGCTGTCGTCGTCGCCGTGGGGGCTTTTAGTGATCTCGAAGTGGAGGCCTTGGGCTTTCATGGTGTCGATCATGTGGATTAGGGCGGCTTCGACTCTGGCGGTATTGAAAACGGCGTTCTGGGGAGATCAGTTGGTGGTTGCTTGGATGTGTGTGAGAAACGAGGTGGGAGAAATTGGAGTGGGGAGACATGCAAGGTACGTGAGAGGAAAGGTGCTGACCTCCTTTTCGATCTCCATCTTGCGTTTCTCAAGCTCAATCCAGGCGCGTTCAGTCGCCAGCAGCTTGGGGTAGAGAGTCTTGTCTCATCACAATGTTGTCATCAGTCACTAAATCAAGCTGAAAATTCACAGAGACGTGAAGGCGAAGACGCGCTCCGGTCGATCGAAATAGAACCAAAGAATTGAAAAACATCGACCCACTGTGACGAACCAGTCCTCCCACTCCTCCAAGAGCTTGTACCCGAGACTCTCAGATGGGAACGTGACCAAGACCTCGAAGCTGTCGCAGTCGGGCTCGCTGAGGTTGACGGTCATGGACTGGTCCGAGGCAGCCGGGGAAGAGATGACGCTGGGAAGCGACCAGAAGGAGGAGCTGCGATTGACGTCTGAGCCGTCGTCAGATGGGTAGGTCTGAGAGGACGGGAGGTTTCTGGTGGGCTCGCTGGGTGCCATTGTTGTTCCTGTGGCTTGACGTGTTGAGATTTGTCAAGATGCAGATATGGGCTAATATTTGATGTGGTGTGCAACGGATGATGATACAAAGGGTAAGGCAATGATGCGATGGATGACATGTCAGTACTCACTATGTGTGTGCGTTGTTGGTTAAGGGCTGGCTTCAGTGCAGCCAAGGCTCCGTCGAAGAGAAATCGAACGCTAGAGAGAATTCTCTGCCCTGCAAGTGCTGGTCACTCCAAAAAAAAAAAACCAAAAAAAAAAAACCAATTACATCGAGTGTTTGCTATTTTGGTGACCTGAAATGATCCTCCTCAACCACGCCCGGCTCGCCTTGATGAGCCTGTTGCGCTTCGGGGGACTATCGTTGTCCGGTAGTACAATTCTACCTTCTATTTCACAGCTTGCTTGTAGAATTTGTAAATTGCACGGGCTTCGTTGATATCTGTGTGAGACTGACAAAGGGGTGGTCATGGCCGAGTATCCAAAGACTTCTTCGAGGGCCTTGTAGGCACAATCACTCATGGCCCCAGCTGCACCAACCATTATTAGTGTCGCGCTCACAACGCAGTGTAGACAGAACAGACATGAAGGGGCCATAGGAAGGGAGAGCCAGAACATAACTTACATCGACTCATCATATCTGTCGATCATCTCAAAGTCGAAGGTGCCATCATCTTCCCAGTTATAGTTGCGCAGGTTCTGAAGCTGGTTAACAGAAACACAGCCTCTGCATAGACTATTCAGGTATGAGCAGACTTGTATGTCTTAAAGTAGAGAATCAGGAACAGCTGTGGCATGAGATCATACCAGTGTTTATTGGCGCAGGAGCCACACAGGTCTTGATTTCGACTCATGTGGCGTGTTGGCCAGGGAGGGAAAGGGGGGGGAGGGGGAGGACTTGGTGACCTGATTGTTCCTCCACAGCCAGGCTCTTGCATAACAAAGTTGATATTGTGGAGAGGAGAGAAGGAAGCAGGAGTAACAAGTTGTAGGAGGGGAAAGGTACAGTATTCTATAGCAATGGAGAGTGTCACTACAGTGGGCAGGGCTCCACAGGCGACATGATTGACACAAATTTTAAATGAATTACCCTACCGGAACAAACTGGTTACCTCACGATCGCGGGGTTGAGGACCGTGATGTTGATTATCGACATGTTGAGTCAGCTCACAGACACCTGGGCCCCCTGGAAAAGTCCGGTCAGTAAACCAAGGCCGATGTTTAATGGACACAATCACTGGCAGTATACTTGGACGATCTAGCAGTGTATTGAAAGCATTAGTCTAGTAAAGAGTTTGGCTTAACATCTCATCATGCCCAGGGTTTTTAACATGAGGCCTTCATTCTAGGGAGGGTTGTTCTTTTGCTGTACCAGGAGACTGACGTGAAATTCTATATGGATAAGAGTTGTGTATTGAGAAGATAGAGGAAATGGCCCAGTAGCTCTGAGCATCCAGTCATAAAGACAAGGCAGCTAGAGAGAAACACAAGGAAAAGGGCTGTATCAAAGTAGTGAACAACAAAATGTGGGGGTTTGCCAGAACTATTGGACAGACGAGCCATGATTAGAGATTAATTGCTGTTGAGGAGCTTCTGGACAGCCCACTTGACCGAAAAGTTCCGGAGGTCGCTGTAGTGCTGTCCAACGCCGACAAAAAGAACCGGCACGTTGGTCGCATGAACGAGGCTCACCAGAGTGCCCACCATGTCTCCGACGGTGTCGCACTTGGAGATGATGAACCCATCGAGTGTGCGCACCGAGCCGAAGGCTGCATTGAAGTTGCGCGCCTGAGCGACAGAGTCAGTGCCGACGAGTGCCTAAGAACAATTAGTATGTGCGTGCGTTTTGACTAGGCGCGGAGATGGGGAGACGTTGGGTACACACCTCGCCAACCATCAGAATCTTGTCCGGCTGTGCAAACTTGGCAAACTTCTCCAGCGAAGACATGAGCCGTTGGTCGTTGTGTCGCCGTCCTGCGGTGTCGATGAGAACAACATCGTAGCCTTGCTGGGCCGCATACGAGACAGCGTCCCTGGCGACGGTCGCAGCATCCTTGCCGTATCCCTTTTGGTACAGCTCGACCTCACCACCCTCCCGCGCGGTCAACTCTTTTAGATTGCGCACGTGTACAGCAAGTTGCTCAACGGCCCCCGATCGGAATGTGTCGCCGGCGGCGATAAGGACCTTGTACTTGTTCTGCAGCAAGAAGAAGCAGATTTTGGACAGGTTGGTCGACTTGCCAACGCCGTTGACGCCGACAATCGACATGACATAAGGCCGAGCCTTGCGCATCGATGTAGCAGAAGGCGAGGTAATGGAGTCGATCTCGCGCAGGAGGTCAAGGGATGATGTTGGCGTGAGCATCTTGGTGAGCGAGGCCTCCATGGCCTTCTGTATGCGCGCGTTGATACTTTCGAAGTTGCCTGTGGTCACTCCGAGCAACTCCTTCTCGACACCCTCGCAGAGCCTCACCGCCGCCTCTCGGGCAACATTCTTGCGCAGCAGATGTTCCTCCATGCCCTTCATCGCATTGGCGAGGTCCTCTTTGGTCAAGGTCTTACCACCAACAATATTCCGGAACAAGCCGCTGATGGCACTCAGACCGGAGCCTACCAGACCACCTGAAGGCTCCGTCTTGGCTGATGCCTTCTGCGCCTCCGCCTCAGCCAGCATGGAGTGGACCTCATCGCCGAGATCCTTGAGCACGAACTTGCCCTTGGTCGTCGATCCCCACGTCGAGGAGTCTACCTCCTCCAGGGCCGAGGACCGCCCCACCGCGGCCTCATCAGCCCTAGCCCCCGAGTAGTCAAGTTTGACGCTGTCGTCCTCCTCGGTGGGCATTCCGTCGTCGTCCCATTTGCGCCCTTTCTTGCCCTGCTTGACACCCTTCCCCCCTTTACGCCCAGCTGTCTCGTCCCCGGATGCCGGCGCCGAGTTGGTCCTGTTGACCGCCTTGCGAGCCCGTCTCGAGAGCTTCGCTGCCGGGCTTGTGTCGCTAAGGAGCACACCATTGTTCGCAGGAGTGGAGGGCCGAGAGATTATGGGCGTGGACTCGACGGACAAGGTTTGTTCCCTGGGCGAGGGAGGGTCGTCGCCCTGCTTTCCGGAGACGGCATCCTTCTCGTTCGTCGCATGAGCCGGTTGAGGCTGAGCCGGGCTCTTCGCGTCCAACTTCTCCAGCTCCTGCAGCTGTTGGTCAAAGTACTGGTCGAAGTTTCGGCACTCAATCTGGGTCGTGTTGGGCTTCGTAAGCTGATCGGCGTACAGCTGAACGAAGATGGTCTTGATGTTGTCAACAAGCTTGTCGGTCCAAGAAAGCTGCAGCAATGACCGGTACACAGCCTAGAAACACACAGATCAGATGGTCAGCACGTGGATGAGAGTAAAATGAACGTGAGAGAAGGCAGAAATCTTCTTGTGAAGAGGCATACAACAAAAATAAGGCCCAATTCCTTGACAAAGGTCCATCGTAGGGTGTGGTGGTCGGTCTTATACGGCGCATTGCTGGCGGCAGAGGTGTTCGTCTTCAGCGTGCCAGCAATACTTTTCTCCTCCACGAAGACATCTGTGATGAAGTTGTTGATGACAGAGGGCTTGACAGGAGCCCACTTGCGAGACCACACAACCACCCCTGAAGTGGTGACTATTTCGAAAGTGTCCAACATGTTTTGATTGTTGGATGAGGAGGCGCTGGAGCAAAAGTCGTGATTTCTGTCGCCGGATAGCAGTGACGGGGGTCGGGGAGGAAACGGGGGTAGTATGGTCCAACTACCAAGCAAAAAAAAGCGAGAGGGGTTCGACTGTGTCGGAATCTTCTTGTTGGTGTAGTTGGTGTTGGAGGATGAGGATGTGACTTGTTGGACGGAAGAGCAAGTGTCGCAACCGTGGAGGACTGACTGGCTGATGGAAGCGCAGGTGGCGTCTGCTCTCTCCGACCCCAAGGCTGCACTGGATCCCACTCCAATTCTCAATTCCAAGGGTCTACTATGTAGCTGCTCCTGTTGTCGGAGTATCCGCTGCAAAGGCGATAAGCGAAAGATACAGTAGATCGGGGCTTATCGATAAGCTAGCTTACCTACTTTTGGTACATCGGCCAGCTTGTTGTTCCAAATCCGAGGACTTAGGAAAATGACAGCATTGCTTCCGCCTTTGTTCAGGGGGACCCTCTCTCCTGCGGGAAGCCTGGAAGCTTACCTACATACACTACAGTAGAAGCGTTGCTCTCATCCCCAGGGCTCGCGTCTCGACCACGTTGCGCGTTTTGACTTACTACTGGCCTTTCCATTCTCGCTGTCCATCAAACCTGCACCCTTTCTTTCGCTGTCAGTTAGCATACAGACTACTCTTCCAACACACGAATCGAATTCAAAGATTCATCACCTACGATGCAGAGGCCGACGACATATGGGCAGTCGCCCCCCCTCCATCATCCCGTACCACAGCATGTCTCGACAGTTCCCCAGCTTCGATCCCCGCCTCCACCCTCGCAGTCGCAACCACAGTCCCAGAATTATGGGAACCCGTACCAGGCACAGCAGGGCGCTGCGCCGAATGGGAATATGTTTGGCCAGTATGGCAATTTTCTGAACGACCCGACGGCCCAGTTCGCCGCACAGTTTGGACAGACTGCCTTCAAGCAGGGACAAGAATACCTGGAGAGTAATGTGAGTGATGTTTGATGGCATCATTCTTTGTCTTTTTCTAGATGCGCCGCGCAGCATTGAGGAAGGTGGATAGCCGTCCAACTAGACGGTCCGAGCAGTTGGAAGCTAGCAAGTCGCAGAGAGGAACTGGACTACAACCCTGAAGCTGCTTCTCTAGTGGGCCGCACAGAGAGACAGGACGGAGGGCGTTGGCGCGGAAGAGTCGAATAGAAAGCAAGCCGTGGATTCAGAGGAAGAGAAGGGCACATGACGAGGATCTCTGGGGTGCAATGATGCGTTGTTTGCAGAGGAGGGGGCAAAGGTAGACATAAACCTTATCCCCCCCCCCCCCCCGAAAGGAGCGGGCGAGATGGCAGACAGATCAAGACGCGACACGATTGCGTGGCCTTGGAGATCGATATCTCGCGATCAGCGGAATACGAGAAGCACATACACATGAACGAGCATCAGGAAGGAATGGAGAGGCGGAGCCTGAGTGGCACACAAGGAAGACCTATTGGAAGCAGTTGGTGGGGGGGGGGGCAATAGGCGTCCTCTGATCCCTGGGCAAGATTCAAGTTGGGGAAGACGGAGCTTTGACGACGGAAGAGCGTCCAGGCAAGCCAGGCTGGAAGGGCTTCCAACACTGCGCGGGCACTTGAATGCGTGAGGTCAACCTTGTATCGGAGACATGACGCTAACAAGAGAATGACAGGTCAATCGCTACATGAACATCTCGATGCTCAAGCACTACTTCAACGTCACCAACAGCTATGTGATAAACAAGCTCTTCCTCGTTCTCTTCCCATGGCGGCACAAGCCTTGGTCGCGCAAGCCGGATCCCGTGCGACAGGGCCTGTATCTCCCGCCCCGTGACGATGTCAACAGCCCCGACATGTACATACCTGTCATGTCGCTTGTGACATATATCCTCCTGTCGAGCCTCATCGCCGGCCTACGGGGTCAGTTTCAACCTGAACTCCTCGGGTCCAAGGCTGCCACGGCCCTGATCGTGGTGATTTTTGAGATCCTGGGCCTCAAGGTCGGGACATACATCCTCAGCATATCCAACGACTCGCAGCTGTTGGACCTAGTGGCGTACTCGGGCTACAAGTTCGTTGGGATCATCGTCACGATCGCGGTAGCCGAGAGCTTCAACGGTGGAAAGGGCACAGGCGGCTGGATCGGCTGGGGCGTCTTCCTCTACACATTCCTCGCCAACTCGCTCTTCCTGATGCGGTCTCTCAAGTACGTCTTGTTGCCGGAGAACAACGCAGGGCCTGGGAATGGTGGCATGCAGACGGACTCGAGGGCCAAGAGGAATCAGCGAACCCAGTTCCTATTCTTTTACTCCTACATCGTGCAGCTGGTTCTCATGTGGATCCTATCGAGGGCATGAACAAGGCCATTCTCATGCGTTATCTTGGCGCGGAGGACGGCGGTTCGGAGGGTTCTGAAGGGGGAGGGGACATGTTTGAAAAAGGCGAACGCAGTGGAATTTTCACGATCTATTTGTGGGTGTAAGATAGGAGATTAGAAGACAAGGAATTGTTCGTGAACCTTGCCGGCATGGAAGAGAAGAAAGAGAAGAAAAAAGCACGGCGACAGATGTTTGGCGTGTGCATGCGTACGAAAGATTGCTTACGACTGCAGACCCTCTCTTCTTCCTACCAATCCTCTCGGTGTGGGGTCAGTCTCTCTCCGCCGGTCAAGTCGGGCGAGTCGGACGAGACGTTTTACAAAGTTCCGCCTTGGCAGCACTGTTCCTCTCCCCTATGCACTGCATACTTCTGCATAGTATGGAATACACATGACTGCTACTATGTACAAGAAGGGGCATGTACCGTAGCCGTTTCTCTCTTTGACGTCTCGGCCCGCTGCCCCTCCCCTTCTCACTGTCGTAACTCCGATGTGGGTTTTGCGCTGTCGTGGGAGACGCGTGCAGAACCCTATCTGGCCTAGGGATTTTCACCAGCAAGTGATCTACCGAGACTAGTAGCACACACATAGGTAGAGACTATTGTAGTGCATACCACATACAGGACCAAAATGGCTACGCACCCATGCCGACTTTAACTCCACCGAACAAACCGAGATTGCTGAGTAGCAGGAGGGCGTTTCCCCTTCCCCACTCTTCCCATGGAACAAGACGTCAAAGAGTTATGGTGCGGGGGCCAGATCGACCTCAATCCAGGGGGTGCTACTCCGTAGGCGACGCGGCGGGTGTAGGTGGAGGGGGGGAGCCATCTTGGCTTCCTTGACGGATAAAAAGGTTCTATTCTTAATTTCGTAAACCCTTGTCCATCGATTCGGCAGTGCCAAGGGTTTGCAAGGAACACTTTTGGGCAGGGGGGCAAATCTAATAGATTTGGTTTCCTCCCCCCTGCAAAGAGGTGGAACTCGATACGGGACATGCTTGTTTCTATAGCCGATACGTGCATGGTTACTTACCACGACTGTGGTAGCAGCAAGAAACAAACCAAAGGAGATCTCACTTTGACTCTGGTCCCCCCCCCTTCCTCTTCTCTCTTTCTAGGGCCCCAGATCTAAGAGACGACGTTGCTTTCTTTCTCCACTGCCAAGCCCACGTCGTGCATACGCGGCGGTGTAATCGTGATTTCGCCATCCCAATAGTGGGTGGGTTGTGTATGGGGTGTATTGGATTTTTTTTTTCTTTCTTTTCTCCCACAAGCCGTTGATCCAAGGATGGTTGTGATCGACCCGGAGTGCACTGCCCAGCAAGGGGTTTGCTCTGTCAGGGAAGGAGGCTATCGTCTCGGGAGGTGTATATAAAGAAGTGTTGATGACCTCGACATGGAAAGTCCTTGGGGAGACATCATCATCATCATCAGGCTAATTCGCTCTTTCTCTCTCTCCGCTCAGCACCGCCTCCACCACTACGCTCTCTTTCTCTCCAGACGAGTTTCCGTCTAGTCAGTCGTTCTATACTGTGTATAAATTTATTTGCACTATTGCAACCAGCACAACTATCATAATAATGGCTTCTCAACGTTTCGGACGGGTTATTGCCACTGCTCTGGCCACGGCCTCTATCGCCGCTGCTGCCACCTGTGATACCAGCACCCTCAACACCACCACGTACCTGTACCCAATCACGGTCGCGGGCACCACCATTGCTGATGTAGCCAATGCTACGGGCCGCGGTCTGTGCAACATTGCTCGCTACAACTTTATGGCCGACCAGGTTCGTTTTTTGTCACTTGTTTCTGGTTTCTCCAACAGACACACGAACAGGAGTTTTTTTTCTTTCTTTTTTCTTTTTCTTTCCTTTTTGAGGTAGAATATAATCTGACTAACTCTTTCAACCACTCGCAGGCCATTCTCCCCAACGTCGGACAGGAGATCGCCATCCCCGCCGAGGTGTGCCCCGATGAGATCGACGACACCACCTGCGTCATCGACAACTACAACAGCACCAACACCTGCCTGATCGGTGGCCCCCGCCTGTACTACACGGTCAACGGTGACACCTACACAGCCATTGCTAACCGGCTCAACCTGGCCGTGACAGCGCTCAGCACAGGCGACGCCGACGAGGTGCTCGAGGCGGGCCAGTTCGTCAAGGTGCCCCTGTGCGACCCCAGCCAGTGCAGCTACGAGCCGTTCCAGTTCACCCTCGGCGAGCCCAAGTGCTACAAGGACCTGGCGGACGAGTATGGCGTCACCGTTGGCCAGATCATGCAGCTTAGCCCCACGTACAACTACAGCCAGTCGGGCTACACGCTGGCCACACCGCCTACCATCGACCTGGTCACGAACTGCACCTACCTGTCGGATAACATCACCGTCATCACCTAAATGGGGATGGACCACTGGGAGGCATGAAGAAGAGGAGGGGGGAGATCTTGAAGCTAGAGAGGGAGAGACAGAGACAGAGAGGATTCGTTGGTGTACTACTACGGCGCACATATTCATTGTTTTTGTTTTACCCCTTGTAGATACCAAAAATGAAGTTTGGATGGAAAGAAACAACGCTATAGAGTTTGATTTGTGCATATGTTCAACCCCAAACACACATACACAGTACATACATGGTGCAAAAGAAGAATAAGCAAGAGTTCAGTCTGGTTCAGATCTTTAGACCTTTGTTTTGAGTTGCATGGCACATGGGGACTAACCATGCTTGATTACGCAACGAGTCCAGGATACTGAATCTCTGCCAACTTCTAAAATGAACTCAAAAAAGAGAAAAAAGAAGGGACGATCCTCCAACCCCAATTGGGCCATCCCCGAGTTCCCGTGAGCGACTATCAATGCCTTGGTTGTTTTATTATGCGGACGTCCGACTTCTTCTCCGAGCCCTGTCTGTGCGTTACATCTTTCTAAACTACCCAAAAAGTGATTTACTATGTACATATGCACGTACCGAGTAAGCTATGCCGGTGATACATAACAGCGAATAGGTTTTCAGCCGCAGAATGATGTGTGGGCGAGAGATCTCCTCCCCCTGTCGGCCCCCCTTCTTTTTGCCCCCCCCCCCGGTCAAGACTACATGAAACCCTGCTTTGCGCGCGCCCCTCCCCACCGGGACTTGCCGCGCGTATAGTGCTCCGCGAAGCTTGAATTAGTTTTGCTGCCAGCGACCTCATCTTGTTCCTGGACCCGCCTTTTCCTCTCTTCTTCTTGTTCTTCTTCTTCTTCCCCTCCACTTACCAGATAAATACCTCGTTTGCCTGTTTTTAATTTTGGGTGAGAATGAAAGGAGGAGACGGCGACGGAGAAGGAGGAGGACCCACGGTTCGCAATCGGCTGGAGAATACCGTCATGCTTTGTTTGAAACGGGGGCCTTCTTGGGCCAGTATCGAATAAGTTTATTGGCCGGTGTCATATTACTTTTCGGTGTGAGTACCCAAGTGAGCAACTACGTATACATAGCAGCTATACGTACATAATATTAATCTTGCTGGCGACTGAATGGATGCCCTCTCGCAACCTCTCCCCTTTGGGATACCATGTTCCTGCTTAAGTACTTGTCTTTTAGCATACAATACGACAGTACCATGTGTAGCGTCAATTTATGATACATCATATACCCAAACTACGAGATGTGCCCCACATATATATTACGTACTCCCGCTGACGCATATCGTTGATCAAATATTGGGTACTATTGTTTGGACTCCTACACATCGGCATTTGCTTCTCGTATATTGATTCCTTTTCACAGGTCTTTGTGTCTTTCCACGACGTTGCTGTAGCACAAATTGCTTTCGTAATGCCCCCCCCCTTTTTTTTTTGTACATACATACTGTAGTCCTACCATTTAGTACTACGACGTACTTAATTTGTTGCCGGTCCGAAACCTTAAAGCAACAATACAACCTAAGCTTCGCATCCCTCCTCGCCCTTCTCGACTCCGGAGGTAGAAATATATACAGTGCTACTATACTTAGCTAACAAGTCCTGATAGACCTATTCACTTCAGCTTCCACCCCTTGTCCCTCCTCTTCCCCTATGCAGCCAGACGGTACCCTACGTGGCCCAAGCCCAAGTCAAAAGAAAGGAGGGTCTCAGGAAGTGGAGATAGGGGTGGGGGGAAAGGGTGGTGAACGAGCCTGCCCTGTTGACCGAGCATCTCAATGATTCTCCCGTGAAAGCCGACGATGCTGAATGTCTTGGGGGCCGGGGGGAGGAGGCCAAGAATTATCTCATGCTGCGCGACGTGGATCTCTCTCTCTATGAGTAAAAGAGCCAATGAGGGAGCAAGGAACCCAACTGATCATCATCCAAAGCTTGTCCGTCCGCCTGCCGGGAGAAGGACATTTTGTTTCCGTCGTGCTCGGCGGTCGGACCGAGTCCGAAAAGAGCCGAGCTTGGGAGGAAAACGAGAAAAAAAGAGACAGTACAGGGTAAAGACCAAAGGGGAAGGGATCTTTGCAGGTTTCTCCGATTCGTGAACTTTATTGTCGGTTGCCGTGAAAAGCATTGAAGATGCCAAAAGGGGGGGGGGGGAACCCATCAGATACTACTGCCCTGGCGCCTGTTTTCCAGTGAAGTGATCAAATTGATAGAAAGAGAAGAGAGGAATGACCAGTAACAAATCATGGATAGCAAGAAATGAGATGATCACCATCATCCCAGGACTCGTTTCTCTACAACGCCTCAGGTAAACCAACCCCCTCCCCCCCCCATCTCCTCCTCCTCGCCCTCGGCCGCAAGACAACACCGGCAATCAAATGAAAATCTCCTACAGTGGACACCACTGAGATATACAGTAACGAACCTCCTTTCCACACCCTATTTCATACACCCAACTGAACTGATCTTCAGCCCGTTGGCTCGAACAGGCTCGTTTGCACGAAGCACACAAGTAAGCTCTCGTATCAGCGAAGACAGTGGCCACGACTATCAGAGTAAGGCGACGACGTGGCCTCCACTTGATACTGCCGATGTTTTGCCAGATGCCTTTCACCGACTAAACTACAGGGCTGTCAGGGTAGACCGCTGAGTAATTATTAATGGCCTTACGCAGTATATTTGGATCATAGTTCGAGGCTGAGCAGAGCTGGTACAATGCGTGGATTGTACGAGGCTTCCTCAGACGGCCATATTTCCGGAAGCAGCAAGTCTTACAAACTGTCAACAGGGTCACATCACAGAACCCCTTCGGCACCAGGGAAGAATTAAGAGCTGGGTTTCTTCAGGAATATGCAATCGCTTCATCTATTTTGGGTATGCCATGCTGCACTTCTGCAGGGACCTCGCCCTAAGCTGACACGCTGCGGGTGCACCGTATCATTGAATGGATCCGATGACAGCCACCTCAGCTACCGTGGTACCACAACAGAAGTTGGATCTCACCAAGGGGGCTACGACGCCCACGTAACACCCGGGAATTTCTATGGCCACCCATCGTGACAGCCCTTATTTCCGTACCCAGACCTCCCCTCTCCTCCCCAACGCCTTAGCAGACAAAGTAAGTCATTCAGACCCTGTACTGACGGATGTGACCGGATACCTTAGTCCTCTTTTAGGCCATCCTCCTTTGGTATAGTGATGGAAAAGTGCAAGACCTCGTAGGCCTCACCCTCGTTCGAGCCACCATCCTTCTTCGTCTTCTCCTCGCTGTGCTTGAAGGTCTTCTCCGCCGCACCATCTGCCTCCTTGTCATCCTTGCCCTGCGTCTTCTTGTCCTCTTCCTTGGGCTTGGTGATGACATTACCATTCCCATCGACCTCGACCACGACATCCTCTACATCGAGGCTGCCGTCCTCGGTGTAGGTCCACATATCGTGAACCTCGCCCCGCCACAGACCTGTGATGTAGGCGCTCCCGACAACACCAGGGACGAGGTAAAGCAGCGCAGGCTGGCCATGGCGAAAGACCAGGAGCACAGAGACAGTGGCGACCATGCCGAGGAGGTAGCCGAGAATGGTGGCGCGGAAGTATGGCTTGGGGAATGAGGCGTCGGCAACGGACTTGAGCGCAGACTTGCCGGACAGCAGGTCGCGCCAGCTCGCCGTGGTCCAGAAGGCGGTGCCCCATTGGCCACGGGGATCGACGAATGGCGCCTTGATGTCACGGTAGGCGGTAGTAGTAGTAGTAGTAGTGGTGGTGGTGGTGTCGATGGTGGTGTTGTTGCTGTTAGTACTGACCTCCAACGGATCGGCGCCGTCGGGACCCTTGTTGGTGACGGTCTCCAACAGTGTCTTTTCGCGTGTCATCTTACGCTGGTAATGCTTCCACAAGTCGAATCGCAGGGCAAGACAGATGAAGATGCCCGGGACGACAATGTCACCGAGTCCAAGGATGCTTGCGCGTTTGGCAGTCGTGTACGTCAGCTTGATGGGTACATCGAGCTGCGTGGCGACGCCGACCATAAAAGGAGTGTAAAAGACCATGATGATGTCGTAGAAGAAGAGGCCCACCAGGACCAGGCTGCCGATGGAGAAGGACGTGACCGACATAAACTGGCAGGCCGTATAGCAGACTGCCAGACCGATGATGTTGGCGAGCATGGTGTTGCTGGTGTACAGGTACGCGCCCTGCACTACGATGCCGAGAAGACAACCGATGAGGGTGGTAATGTTGAAGGAGACATTTTCCTTGAGCGAGCCCAGCATCGCAAATTCCAGGTTCCAGTCCTCAACGAGCAGGTGGCGGAGCTTGAACAGGAAATTTCTCGTGCGCGAGGACACCCCGAGTTCCGACACGACACCAGGGAATGGTGTTCGCTTTCGAGCGTCGATCCCTTGTGTTGGATGCTCCTCGCTATCGACGTCGTATAGACCGCCGTCCTGTCCTCGGGGCTTCTCAACCAGCCTTTGGGTGCGGCTGCGTGGGTCGACCTTGAACATCCTCCCCTTCCTGTCCATCCAGGCATCGGGAAAGACGAAGCCCAGGGCCAACTGTATCACGCTGCCGAGAAACAAGCCTGTGCTGAAGACTCCAGTGGAGGACATGTACCACCTCAGTATCCTATTTAGGATGGCCGGGTCTTGAAGCCACTTGATGAGATAGTACAGCCCGACCAGCACTGTGGCAGCCATGAGCGGGAACACGATGGCATCACTGGCCTCGAACCCAGGGGCAAACTTCTCCTTGTGCTCGTCGGCAGGCTTGCCGTCCTTGGTCTTGCGGTTTGACTTGGCAGGTGGAGCGGCAGAAGGAGGGCGGCGCAAGGAGGCGTGCGCGCCAACGTAGATGATGAAGAGGGCGGACACGACCATCTGGATCTCGATGGCCATGAAGTCCATGGATTCCAGGAGCTGCCAGGTGGTAAGGGGCGGAACGACGGTGTGCTCGTTAGGGACAGGGCTTGGGATCTCTTCTGCCATGTTGGATGATGGGTTGGGACAAGGTCAAGCGAAGAGTGAGTGTATCGACTTGCTGGCTGGTGTGTTGGCTGAGGTCAAGAATGCTGCTGTGAAAACGATACCACCATGTAGATATGGTGCCTTCTTAAGATGTGGGTTTGCTGAGATGGAATGGAGATGGCTGTGACGTGTGACAACAATCTATCTTCGTTGCACAAGGCGTTCTGGGCAACTCAGGAAAAAGAAAGAGGCGGCAGATGCTAAACAATCTAGCGCAAGTGACCATGAGACCTGAAATCAGGCAAGAACAGACAAATGCAGATTTTAGCAGAATCGACAAACTGTCATGATTGGTATCATTATGTTTGTGACCCCGCAGACAGATCTGGTTCCAACTGAGGTCTGGAAACAAAGATGACAAGACAATCCAGAAAGAAATATAAATCTTGGAAATTCCAAAAGAGAATGAGAGACAGAGAGAGTGGGAGTTGGGTGAGGGCAACGTCCCTCATAGCTTAGAATGCTTCTGCTGAGACTGACTTGCAGGATGCAAAGACAGAACTGTGATAGCCTTGCAGCAACTGTAGTCTGCTGGAGGCTCCCACAGCTCCCCACCTTGGGCGGTCCAGGCCGCTGTAACGTCATCGACAGGGGGGGCCCTGAGCTACCAAACTTTCAGCCTCGTCCCCTAAATTCTGACCCGCTAACAACAACCACAAACGCCTGTCCATCATTCGGTACAGAGTACAGTCAAGAAGTTTGCATACACGCACCACCAGCATCTGCCACCCTGTCAAGATGGCAAAAGAAGTAGCCTTGGACACCTCCATGGTAAGTTATGCTTTCTCCTCCCAACAAAAAACAACAAATAAAGACCCAGCCGGACTGACTCCTCTCCCTTCACCACCCCAGGGCACCATAACCCTCGAGCTCTACACAACACAAGCCCCCAGAACCTGCACCAACTTCCTCACCCTCTGCTCCCGAGGCTACTACAACAACACCATCTTCCACCGCATAATAGCCAACTTCATGATCCAGGGCGGCGATCCCACCGGAACAGGCCGCGGCGGCACCTCCATCTACGGCGACAAGTTCGCCGACGAGATCCCCCTCCTCCCCGGGTCCACCACCCCAGAGCTCAAGCACACGGGCGCCGGGATCCTCTCCATGGCCAACTCTGGGCCCGACACGAATGGGTCGCAGTTTTTTATCACCCTGGCACCTGCGCCTTGGCTGGACGGGAAGCATGCTGTCTTTGGGCGCGTCAGGGCGGGGATGGGTGTTGTGCGGCGGATGGGGCTGGTCAGGGTTGGCCCAGAGGATCGACCGGTGGAGGAGGTGAAGATCCTGCGGGCACGGGTGATCGAGGATGGGGAGGAGGTGTGAGAGGTTGGGGGGGGGGGGGGAAGGCGAGGATAGCAGATGGGTCGTTACGGCTACATCAGCCCCCCTGGATACAAGATGCAGAGGCCGAGGATGCTCGGCTCGCTGGTCAAGCGTATGGCATCAGATGAGGAAGCTTCAGTGAATGGTGGACTCTGCGGAGAGCAACACCTGAGACTTGTCCATTGTGTGCTCTCAGAAATCCCCTTCTCTGGCCGTCCTGGCGGGTAATTTCCCAACACAGCGTGATACTATGTCCGTACAAGGTGCTTGTCAGGTATCATGTGCTCGTTCGTTGGTCCTCGTAGGCAGTTATTAGGGCATACAGAAGTAGGGGGCCACATCACGGGTAGAGGACTTGGACTCGGCCAAGGCTTCTTGCTTTAAAAAATATTACGTTGACAATACCTGGGTTTTCTGTAGTGACAAGCGATCCCGTAGCAGAATGCAATCGCCGTTGAATTGGATACTTGGGCACGATGACCTGCTACGGAGATAAATCTCTGTTGCCGTCGATAACCAGGCGTGCCATTTATATTCCATAGTACCCAAGTATGCCTTGCGAAGTTTCCATCGACACAACCAACTCTTCCCACCCCGTGACTCAAGTGAATGCAAAGACGCCGGAGCCCAGCCCAGCCATGCAAGCTCCTCACAGAAACCAAATGTATGAGTATCTCAGACTCGTCTCAACCCCTGAACAAAAAAAATAAAATAAAAAAATTACTAACCAACTCCCCACCGACCAACATAAACACCGTTGATGCGCATTATAATGTGAAAGTAGAGCGCCCATAGCAAGCAGACAAAACATAGACTCCGAGTTTGCTGCCGGTTGCGTAACTTGTTTAAGGCCCTGGAGACACCTCACCTCACGTTTTGTCTGCTCTGCATATAGGCTCAGCCCTGGTGAGGACAGCCCTCAGGAAGCCAATATGATGCACATACTGCGAGACAATGATTGATCGCAATCAGCAGGCCCATCCTTGTATGTGAGTTGGCCCTCATATCTTTGCAGCAGTTTGCGAGTATTGTTGTACTCTGTAGACTGGTGGCTGCCGCGCAGAGGTACAGACCGACCATCTGAGGCAAAGGCAAAAGTCTTAGTAGACCGTACTTTTTTTTTCTTCGTCCAGATTATCTCTGGGACGGGCAAGATTCTAGTCTCACCCCATGCCCTCGATTTTAGGAGGCATGGGGGGGTTCCGAGAGTGTATCTGATGATTCGTAGCCGTTGTCGGCCTGGCTGCCGTTTTTCGGTCTCGGCGATCCCAGTGACGGTTTTGCCGAGCCCAGCTTGAGCTTCTTGTTAGGCGAGGACTGCTTCGCCGAGGGCTTCTTGGACATAACCTGGACGGTCGATTTCTTGTCCTCCTCTTCCTCGTCGTCATCCACCTTGGACTCGTGGCTCAGGAACGAGTTGCCCTTGACCTTGTCCTTGTCCTTCTTGGGCTTGTTCTTGAGCAGTATCTTGGTCGTCGGCCCCTTGAGCTTCTTGGCCTTCTTCTTGGGGTTACTGGTGGCTACGTCTGAGTCCTGGTCCTCATCGAACTCGTCCACATCTCTCTTCCTGGGGCTGCCCGCCCGCGAGCCATTCACCGGCGTCCCCTTCTGGCTCGAGGGAGGGGTGGCGTCGTTGTTGACGCTCCCGTTGCTGCCGTTTGTGATCTTTTGCGAGGCCACGCGGCTGGCGTTCCTCCCGCTATTCCCTATGCACGCGCCCATGTGGTTGTTGAGGCGCGTGACCAGTATACACCTTTTGCACTTGCTGCATGTTGCCGAGGGGAACGACAGCACGTTTGGAGGCCGCTGGCCGTCGGGCGTGGGCGTCACTGTGCCGTCTACGCTTGCGTCAAGCTTCTTCTCCATGTCCTTCTTCTTCTTGCCCCTGCCTGGACCGGGCGCGATCCAAGTCTGTCCGTAAATGTCGTACCCAGGCTTGTCGATGTATGGGTGCTTTTTACAGTAGATGACGCCGGGGTCGGGCTTCTGTGCGCCTCTGCCGTCCGTGGGGTGCAGCAGCCGAGGGAGGTGACAACGGGGGCATATGATGTCCTTGGTGGTCTGGAGCGGATTCGCCTTCAGGTACACCTTGCCGTCCTCGTAGATGGCAGCGTCGGTCTCCGTGCGGACGTCTGGTCGCGGGTCGGTATCGGAGGCGTCTGCGGCGTCGGCAGCCAGCTTCTCGACTCTGATGGCGGCGGTATTTGCGCGGGATATTTTTTCTGAGCGGTGCACCTCGAGGCAGAGGTCGAAGATGACATTGTAGATTAAATCGTCGAGGACCGAATGTGACTGTAGAAGAGTAGGGGGTGGGGGAGGAGGCTCGAAGTCAGCGCCAGTGAACATGCGTGAGAGGAAAGGCGCTTTTGGAAGCGCGATACCTGTATTTGTAGGAAGAGAGGGCAAAGGTCTTACAAGTCTGTCCAAGAGGTTGCTGTCGTCTGCTGCGACGATGATCTCGGCCCTGCCCGTCAGGGCGTTTACTGGGGCGACATCCATGGTGGCAGGAGGCAGAGTACAACAGGACTTGTGGGCAGCAGGCTGCTGGAGGCTGAAAGATTGCGCTGCCAGAGGAATCAAACAGAGAGTAAGGATAAGTTGTGTTGTTGTTGATTTTTTATTTTTTTTTGATCGTGTGCACTACGAGAGGAAGAGACAGAGAAGAGAGAAGTATTTGGTGTTGAAAGGTGGAAAGGCAATTACCTAAAAATTTGGTCTCCCGCGAAGACTTGCTGACTGACAGATGTGTGCATGTATGTAGTTAGTTGGTTGGTGGTGATGGTTGCTCGAGGGTCCCTGCAGCCCCAAAAGTTCGCAAACGGGTCGTGCTGGAAATAAATGTGGTGCAAGTCGCATGATGGGGGTGGGCATTTTTGAGTTAGGACATACCGACCCATAAGTATTACATGCTGTTGTAATATCAAGATACAGTAGATATGACCTGCGCTGCAGTTGGGAGCTAAGCCCAACAACAGTGGAACAAATGACCTATCCACCACATGCCCTGTATTGACAGGGGTTTCAGAACGGGGGCGCCAGGGACCTTCACCAAAGTTTAAATTCCCTCCGCAGTCAGCACCCTCCAGAAAAGACGATTCTTGAGGAATACATGTATATATATCCGTATACATGTAAACAGAAACAGGTATCGGGTGTTTACTTTCTCGAGAAAGTATGCTCCACAGTATTATTTCCTGTTTAGGCGGTTCGACGGGCTGGACGCATTCACCCTGCCACCATCATAGGCACATGGCTTCTCTGGTACACAGACAGGGCTCAGGTATTATTAGTACTATAGTAGTATGTACGTCACTACATTATTTCTCTTAACACAACCCACTGTAGCATGCGAGTAGGCTTCTGTTACAGATGCGCCAGGACATCGTCTTCTATAGCAGCAAGACAAGAGGTTTCACAAGCATAATGGAATAAACGAAAAAAAAGGTGGGAGAAGTGTTTGCACTCTTTTTTTTTTTTTTTTTTTTTTTTTTGTTGTTTTTGGACGTAAAGAAAATAATTGGAATAGAAAAGGTAAACCCATTCAGTAAGTAATCTCAACCCCTTACAATGTGCATCATGTACCACTCCCTAGCGCCGCTAAGTTGAGGCTGTCACTCTCTTTCAGCCCCTGGCGCCGCCCTGGACCTACTACTGGTCTATCAACTACATACGTAATGCCCTGCAAATAATTAATGCCCCATTCCCCCCACGAAGTCAAGATTCCAAAGACGCATCCTGTCAACATCACTTCATGGTCACTTAAAAATATAGAACACAACACCAAGTAAGAAACGAAAACCATGGCCTTTACTATATGACAGACTCACCTCGCCAGCCACCATCTAAATCGTTCAGCCTTCCCCTCCCCTCCCTCCTCCTCTCACGGCTTGCCGTCCGCGGCAAAGATGACACGAACAACACAAGGCCAGCCCTCAATCCTATCCTTCTTTCACAAGCAGCAACCACCTAAATACGCTGCCCCTCCTCCACCACAGGCCGAACAACCACCCCAGCCTCCTCAAGCCACCATCCTTCCTCCGCCTGCTCCTCTCGCGCCGCCATTAGCCCCTCAGCTGCCCACCGCCTCCGCCAGGCCCGTGTCAGCAGCAGACATCCTCCCTCCCGCCTTCGTAGCAACAGCAAGATCAACAGCAATCCTGTCCACCCACCCGAGCGCCTCCATCCTGCCCGTCACCGAGTCCCACATTCCCGCTCTCCGCCGCATCAACGCCCTCCTCCTACCTGTCAACTACTCCGACTCCTTCTACCAGGGGCTTTTGGACCCCGCCGTCTCGGCCCTCTTCAGCCGCGCCATCCTCTGGCAGGATGACCGCAGTCCTGACGCCGCCCCCAAGGTTGTAGGCGGGCTGATCTGCCGCCTCGAGCCCAGCCCCTTCGACCCCTCCACCGGCCTCTACAACCCTTCCCTCGCCGCGTCCCGTCCCATCCCAGGCGCCTCCAACACCGGCATCCCGCCCCCGCAGCCCGGCCAACATCATGCGCTGTACATCCAGAGCCTGGTGCTGCTCGCGCCGTACCGTGGGCTAGGGCTCGTAGGCGCCGCCCTGGAGGGCATTCTGGACACGGTGCGCGCCGCCGGGCGGGCGGGCGCAGGGGCGATCCAAGTGGACTGGGTGTATGCCCATGTGTGGACCGAGAACGAGGATGGCATGGGGTGGTACGGCCGGCGGGGCTTTCTCCAGGATGTGTTGCTCAGGAACTACTACTGGAAGCTGGAGCCAGACAGCGCTTACGTTGTCAAGAGGAGCGTCGAGCTCGAGGGTGGCAGGACTGGAGAGCACGTGGATGCGGCTGGTCGGCAGGTTGTTGGAATTCCGGCCAGTGTCACGGCTGCGGCTGTGAACCTACCTAGCTTCACCACCACAGGAATAACAACGACAGCAGCAGCAGCAGCAGCAGCAGCTACTGCCCCCCCTCCACCAGTGGCCACCGGCCCCCCACAGCCGACGGCAATGCGTCCTCCGGCGCCGGCCTCTTCGCTCTCTTTTCAGAATAAGAGGCCTGATATGGAGTGGAATGACCTGCCCGAAGAGATGGTCACTTCCAAGAACAGCTCCCGCAGCGACCTGCTCCAGCCGCCGTCTGGTTCGAGCTCCCGGAGCAGCTCGACGGGGCGCAGGAAAAAGGACCGGGCGTACCCCACCGCAGCCTTCGGTGGAAACTGAGAGCAGCGGGATGGCCGAGGGGGGCGATTGCCTACGGAGTCCTGGACGTTATTTCTGCTCTGTCGGTTTTAATCATGAGGGAGGCAGGGGGCGGGGGGTCTGGTCATGCCAAATCTTAAGTATAGGTTGGGGGTCTGCTTGGGAAATTCGATTGGGCTGGGGTTTGAGGGAGGGCGTTAGGAAAGGATCAAAAAGACGTCCTGTCTGCCAATAGTACCATTCTGACGATGTTGCATACTTTGGAAAGACAGACAGACATACATGGCTTGGACATAGAGACATGGATAAAAACTCCAATTGTATCTGTGGCATCAGACCACTTGCTCACCTGCGGTCCAAACATCTCTGAAGTAAACAGACCGTCCAACATTTGTCGTGTTAGATATGATGCCCCACCTGCTTGCCAGTCTAGCGAGAGAGGGGGGGGGGGGGGGGGAGAGAGAGAGATATCACAAAACTCGTGTCACGCAATATTTTTGCTGTCACTATCTGGACTAGTTTTACGTTTGCACACGCAAGATTAAATGGTGAAAGGTAAGGAAATGTTTGGAGGTTGGGGAGGGGGGGGGGGGAGCGTCACAAAATGTAGTCATTATAATCACAGTGCAATTGGTGGATGGCTTATGAGCTCAGATTGTAAATCGTTCCTTTTTGATTTTTGTACACATATGTCATCGAAGATACCTAGCAGCAGGGTTCGGCATATCCAGGGGCCTTCTCTTGATCTCTTGACAAGACGTTAAGACCGCTCATCATGGCAGAGGCATGCCGCCCACATGAATAGAGTCGTCCTTGTCGAGATGAGCCCCTGGACTTGTAGCCGACAGCTAGCTTGCCACTGTGGACAAGATCTTCTCTCAATCCTTTTCCATTTTCTTTTGAATTTCTTCTGCTCCCTTCCTCTTGTATCATGTTCCCATCTTGATGGAGTTTTCTTTGTTTCGTATTATTCTCTTCTGGCTTTCCTTCTCTTTTCCTCGTTGACGAGTTTCCTCCTCTTTGCTTTCCACACTTTTCCGTCGTCCACTAAGATCAGGTACTGCAGGCTTCCGGGAAGCCGGGTATCATTTGTATGAGAACGCCTCCTCTTGCCAGCCCATGTTGCTAATGCTAATGCCCGATGTTTCAACAATGAACATACACGCCATGACTTGACGCAATGTTCGATGCTAGATCGTAGCGGATTACAAAACAAAGAAGGGGGGGGGGGATGCAGCCCGAGGTCAAAAGGGAGTTTTCCTACTACTGGCCGCCGTCAAGACGGTCTTTGGATGCTGTGGGGGAAGGAGGGGACAAAGAAACGATGCATTGAGGGCTGAATCAAAGATTGACAGTTCCAAGATGCAGGATTTTGGAGGGATCGCCAATGAACTGTCGACGGAAGTCGACAATGGCTAGGGCGATGGTCTTAAAGTCTCGGACTTTGGCCTTCTGAAACTGCGCCACCATCAACCGCAGCTCGTTGTTGAACTGCTTCTTCTGGTCGCCACTGAACTCGTCAGAGCTTCCGAGCTCCAGGATAATCTCGTTATCTAGGTGAACGAGTTCCTATTAGCTTTTGAGGGGGGTGCCCGGTGTGAGGTAGCTAGACTTAGCAGGACCCTCCCGAGGCGACAGACTCACCCGGTGCGATGATGGATTGGAAGTGCTGGAATTCGCAAGTATCCCCACGCGGGCAGTCATTCCCCTCCCACTGATCAGGGCACATCTCCTTCTTGGGATCGATCCTGTTACTGTAAGTCAACGACTTGAGTCCACCAGCAACACTGTTGTTGTACTCTGGGTGGAATCGGTAGGCGTGGAAATATCGCAAAGGACTCTCGTAAGGAACAAAGGAGGTCTGCAAGATTTGAGACGAGTCACCGGTGGCCTTCACATTAGTTAGATGTCTGTCAGTAGGGGGAGAGCAAACGACATGTACTTCTCTGGCCGTTTCCACCGCTTGCTCATGTTGCTCGGTTGAGGTAACAAATTCGGGACCTCCGTTCTCGGAGATTTGGGCCGGGGGGTTGGTGTTGGCCTGCTGCGATTGCACTGGAGCCAGAGTGTTGCTGTCACCACCAGTGACAGCAACGACAGGCGTTGGCGACTTGGAGGTCGTCCCCGTATGATCCTCAGCCTGAGCCTCAGGTGGCTCATACTCATCAGACACACTAGACTCAGTGATGGATGCATCCTCTTGGTCCATTCCATGATCGGTGGTATCGATAAAGGTTTCAGCAGGCTGGTCGTTGACCTTGTAAGCATCATGATGATCCTCAGCAGAGGATTGAGCGCCGGCCGACACAGTTCCGAGAGCAGGGTTGGCAATACTGGCAAGGAAGGCATCTGCAGTAGCCTCGGCTTCATGCGCCGCCGCCTTGTCCAGAGCATCGATGTCCCTGGATTGTGATTGAGAACTGTCGTTCGGAGGGCTTGGTTCTAAAGCTGACTGCTCTGGGTCAACGACAGATGCAGAGATCATGGCGACCTCTTGAGAGTCTTGGCTCCCAACCTCTTCCTCGGCCATATCATCATTGATCTCGGCCTCGAGCTTCATAATGGCCTCTCGCATGCGCCTCAGCCGTTCTTCCTTCTCCAGCAGTTTTGCTGATTTGACAGCGAGGGACGCGCTCGAGACACCGCTATGCTGCTCGTTCTCAGGCTGTTGATCAGCCATTACCAGGCTTGGCATGGGCTCTGGGGTGGCAGTAGCTCGGGCTCCTGGGGGCATCTGTTCAGGCAGGCCATTCTCATCGCCCACATCGCTCGCTGAGACTCTCTGGGACATGGTAGGCTTGATTGCCTGCTCGGCAGGGGTGGCGTCCCCAGTGGTAGGTGTTTGAGGTGTGGCAGAACCTTTCTTTGGCTTCGCCTTGGCCCGAGCCTCTGCCTCCTCAATTCTCCGTCTCAACTCCTCGATAGCTTTCTCCTTGGCCATAAGATCACCGTTGGCAGCCTTGCCTGCAACTGCCGGCCCAGGGCTAGAAGCTGGCCGTGTAGAGATTGTATTTGTCAGGGGAGGATAGTCTCGAATTGCTGCACCACGTTGAGGAAGGGTCGCAGTCTGTTGAATTGGCGGTGGGGAGTCCTCAGTGGGCGAATCAACTTCCATCTCAACATCTTCCTCATCCTCATCCTCATCCTCGTCCTCGTCATCACTGATGTGAATGACTAGTGATGAAGTCTGCCGGTTAGCGAGCATTGGGCGCTTGGCAGCGGGGGCAGGAGTGTCCATGAAGTCTGCGGCCACAGGGCGCTTCCGAATATTCAGCTGCTGGTATCCTCGAGATCCAGACGAGGGAGCCAGAAAACCCGGGGTGGGCACCGTCGACGACGGCCGCTGAGGTGTTGCAGGTTTCGAGGTTGGACGCTGAGGTGCGCTCTGTGCCTCAGAGGGCAAAGGACTATCAGAAACCGACGAAAGCCCTGCAGGCGATTGCGTCTCTGTTGGAAGTACCTGTGGGGCAGCCGGCTTCTGAACGGCATTGTTCTCTAACGGTTTGGTCTCTGACGACGTCTTCTGACCGATCTTCTGTGCGCTTCTAGCCCTGATCAATGCCATTTTCTGTTGCAAGAGAAGGTCTTTCTCGGCTCTGGTTTTGGGTGCAGCCGGGGTGACACTTGGACTTGCACTGGCAGAACTAGAGGCAGTATTTGGCTGCGCCCCCGCTTCCACATTGCTGCTTGCAACAGCGGCTTTGGCCTTCTTCTCGGCCAAGAGACGAGCAATTCTATCCTTCCGCTCCTCCTGCTTTTTTGCGAGAGCGTCGGCTACAGTCGGCTGCGAAGACTGCGAAGGCTGCTTGCTGATATTCTGACTCTCCTTCTCCGAAGCTGCTGCTGGCTCCTGGGAAGTTGAAGGAGGGCCTGAGTCCGTGGACAAGTTTAGCTGAGTAAACAGCATCTTGACCAATTCTTCATCGAGGCCTTCCTCAATATATGTCTGATATTTGATGCCATGTTGTAGGAGTTTCAGTATAGCCTTCTTCGCCTCGTTAAATGCTTCAGACACGCTTGTGAACGACCGTGGTGCGTTTGCTCCACTGGTGCTGGACAAGCTGACAGGCTTGCTAATGTGTCCTCCGCCGTTCGCTGAGACTCCAGCGCCTTGCGACACGGCTGGCGAGGAGATAGCACGGCCGACTGGCAGGTCGTGGGCTTCCTTCGCAGCTAGTAAAGGTCAGCATGTCGACTTATAGTTCCCGGGCATTAGACTAACCTTGGACGGTGCCGGTAGGCTCCTGATCTTGCTGAAACTCCGCCGGAGAGAGATGTGGAGAGTATGATCTCGAACGGTCCCGCTCCATCTCCTGAGCTACCTTGACACTATCTCGTAGCTGGACTTCGTGACTGGGACTGTCGTTGCCGCGCGCAGCAGGCACATCTTCCATGTCGGTGTCGTAGAAATTGGGTTCTTGATCTGATCCATCGGTATCCTCGCCGCCAGCAGCCTTGGCAGGTGGAGCTGCAGGCTCATGGCTCCCAGGTGGTTTAGTTGGGACATTGTCGTAGATATCAGCAAAGACATCCTCACTGATCTCGCCTTCGTCCTGGGATTCGGCATCATCCGACTGAACCTGAGACTGCTTTTTTGACTGCTCCTTCGACTGCTCTCTCAGCTCAAGATCAGCCTCCAGCTGGCGATGCGCTGCCTCATTAGACGGTAGGAACTGCGCCGCGAGCTGTGGATTCTGCGGGACGGGCGCCTCCACTTGGGAAGCTGGATGTGCGACAGGATATGTGACAGGAGTCGAGACCATCGGTCGAGTGGGGTCGTAGGGAGAGTACGATGCTGGAAGGTCGTGAGGAGAGTAGAAGGCCGAAGCATGATGGGGAGAGTACGGTGCCGAAGGGGCGCTCGTTGGGTAGCCTCCCTGGTTCCATGAGCTATTGAAGGGCACAGGAAAGGGGCCACCAGTTGACGGGGTGCCTAGACCCGGGATGGTACCGGCGTTGTGATCGTACGCTGACTGAGAGGCGGAGTAGTAGTTGTCGACGGCGTGCGGGTACGGTTGAGGATGATGCGCCTGAGGCGCTTGAGGCGCATAAGACGGGTGAGGCGGTGGTTGCGAGCCATACCCACTCGCAGGAGGAGGATATGTGTTGGACGGTTGGTAAGAGTAGGGCTGTTGGGGCGGCTGGCCCTGGAAGGGATATCCGTATGGATATCGAGACATTGTCGACGTGATTCGCAAAAGGATGAGGATGCGTGATGTATGTGTTTGTGATGGTGCGTCGATGACAAGGAACTCAACGTGCTGTAGGTGTAAAGATGTCGTGTGCTGTGTTGACGATGTGCATTGTTATCACGAAAGCTGAAAGGGGGAGGAGAAAAGCGGGCATGTGCTTGCAACGAGGCAAAGTTGAACACTGCAGGTGATTGATTGCCTTTGACGCGTCTTTAGATGCTGTGTATACAACAAGATTTACCCACTGAGCGTGTCTCTTGGGGGTGGGAAGGAGGACAACCACCAATTTGATTAGCAATATAGTGCTGAAGCAGGGCTCAATGTTGAATCAAGAGTCATGCGCCAAGTTAAATGGGGTGCTGGCACGCTCATCGGCTGTACATAGGTTGAGATTGACCGTCGGGTTCAAATGTGAGAATCGAGACACCGAAAGACCTGACTCGATATTGAGCAATCAGGATTGACGAAGATATTTCTGTACTAAGACTCAACTTGCTTCTGGACAGACAAAGGCAAGTTGGTCCGTGTGTGTTTGGTGTTTGGTGGCGCTGATGTTGCTTGTCCTTGGCTTGGCGCGCTTTGTGTTTCTCAGCGCTCTGATCAGCACTGGTTGGGATTGCGCTAAGCTTTTTTCAATGCTAGGGCATGCGTGGTAGTACGTACGACAACACATAGTAGTACAGGGGTAGCGCCTAAAGTTGGTGGGGCTGGTGGCTGGGTACCCCCATGTCCAGTTGCTCCGGCGTCATTGGATTTGTTTACATGTCTGGGGGCTAGGAGCCACTCATAGGCTGAGGCCCCAGTGTAACTTTGGGTGGGAGGTTGGGAAGTTGCGACTCTTCAATTTCACATGGCCAGACTTGATCCCTTCAATGCTTGAATCGAGTACTCTCTTTTCCCTACGAGCATGAGATCAGATCACAAACACTGCAGAGGAAGGTGATTACATGGTTATTGAGGCCATATTACTTTTCCCTCTCGAGCAAAAGGACGACCGACCAAACGCCCATTGCTAGACGCCAGCCCTGCGCGATCGCGTCTGGATGACCGACGCCCAAAGCCATTAATTCCGCAGTATCTTGATGCTTACACGACCTCCATGAAGACCTCTTTGCACCCACAAACTACTGTTGTCACACACATTCAGCATCGTTGACTATCGTTACGATGGGGACGGTACGGAACAGCCCGTTCATGAGGCAGTCGCCTTCCCCAGCCCCGCCGAACAGCAGGCCGAAATCCGCCCTTTTCCCGTCACCTATACTACCCTCATCTGGATCTTCAACCCCCCCAACATCCGGTCATGTG